ACAGGTTGACTATTTGCTTTGTGAAGAACAACTTTCTGTTATTAGTTTGAAGCCTGCTCCCATTCATTTCATTTGGTGTCCTCTAGTCCTTCTATTATGGGAACTAATGAAGAACTTTTCTTTATGTACCCTCTCCACACCACTCATGCTTTTATAGACCTCTATCCTATCCCCCCTCAGTCTCCTCTTTTCTAAGCTGAAAAGTCCCAGTCTCTTTAGCCTCTCTTCATATGGGACCTGTTCCAAACCCCTGATCATTTTAGTTGCCCTCCCCTCTCCCACCTCCTTTTCCCAGTCTCCCCAAGTTTTGTTCAATAAAGAGAGTTTCTATTTTTGAACACACGTGTCCTTTATTTTGTACATCAGGAAGGGGGGCTAGGGAGGGGTAAGTGGAAGGAGGTGAGGGAAGAATGGGGTACGAGCCCCCGATGGGGAGGACTGGGCTGTCTCTGCGGGCTCCTCGGGGTGGAAGCTCTCCTGAAGCACCTTGATTGACCCCCCCTCCGCATGTTAGCCTGCGGCAAGTGCAGCCGGGCTGATGGCCGAGTGCTGTGATGTGCCGAGTGTGGGCACTCAGGGCACTCCAAGCCAGGACTGCTTTGAAAGCGGGGAACCCCTGCGAACTGTCTGTCCGGGGTGGGGGTTGGGTCCCTTTAAGCGCAGCCCTCGGCTGACCTAAGACAGCAGCTCCACGCTCTAAGTCCTAATCTGATGCCCTGCCGGCACTCCTTCCGGCCATCCTTAACCTCGGTTCAGGGTCCACTCAGTGTGGACATAGCGTTTTGCTAATTCAAACTAGTTTTAAAGTCTAGATGCGCTAATTCGAATTAGCTTAGTTCGAATTAACTAATTCGAACTACGTTAGTTCGAATTAGTGCTGTAGTGTAGACATACCCTGGGGGACTCTACCGCCTTCAGCGAATGTTGTACCAGGCCAAAGCAGAGGCCACCTATGAGGGTTTTTGCATATTCTGCTGCTAGGGGCTATTGGTGAAATCCGAGCAGGAGGGCTCTCGCCCTGATCAGTGTGGGTGAATGTAACACAACCAGACTGTGTGGGTTGTTGTGTGGTATAGGACAGGGAAACCCATTAAGGCTGAGCAAGCAGGTATACCTCTCCCATGGGCACGGCTTCCATCGCTCTCTCATATTCCACAGCCCCACTCAGCCCCCTCTCACGAAAAACCCGGTCGGTCTCATCCGAGAAGAGCACAGCATCCCCGTCAAACACCACTCGCAGTTGGGTGGTGAGAGCCTGCACGTCCTGCTGGAAGATGAGTGCGGCTGGAACACCTGTGGGACAGAAAGAAAGGTCACTCCTCAGCTGAGAAGGGAACCAGGGAGATTGCAGCCAGGCCTTGCCAAGAGTCCCAGACTACTGCGACTATGATGCTGCAGCCAGAGGAGTTGCACAAAACCTGTGTGCTTGCAAGCAATGGAGGACAGGTCGGGAAGCAGTCGGCGTAGGTCCCTCAGGATTGTTACAACCTCGCTCCAAAGCCCCCTGACGTCCATGGAAAGACTGCCACAGATTTCAATGGGTTTTGGATTAGGTCCTCACAGATTCAGGTCCCTTCACGTTCCTCCCCCTACCCCATCCCACTCCAGGAAAAAAACATTCTAGACCTCTAAACAGTGCTCAACTTTCCATCTGCAGTGGGAGAGCCATTCTGGGAGTGGGAAGGAGAGGAGGCAATGCTCAGATGTCATAGTATGGACACTCCTCTGTAGGGGCAGGGGGTGGGAGTACGAGTTGCTGCACTTACGCAGCATGTGCAGCCAGCACACCCCTGCCTGCACTTACCCGAGCCTGCTAAGCCCAGATTAGGGCTGTTCGATATTGTGTAACTGAATAGTCATGTAACCGCATGAAAACTTAGTGGTTACATGACTATTTTGTTGTCTCCAGGGATGGGGCTGGCAGCCAGTGCGCTCTGGCCCCACTCCCAGGGAGCCCCCTGCCACCGTGCACTGCTGCCTCTATCAGAGGAAGCAGCATGGGGTGGCAGGCAGAAGCCAGTCCATGAGACGAGCCTGTTTAAAAACCAGCTCCCCATGCAGCCTGGCTGCCTGCTGCCCCATGCCCATGACAATACAGAGGCAGTAGCACAGGGTGGCAGCAGACCCCGTCTGCGGGGTGTCTGAGCTCCCTACAGACAGAGGCTGCTCTGTGGAGAGCTCGGATCCCACCCAGACAAGGGCTGCTGCTGCAAAGCAGCCTCTGTTCGTGGGGAACCTGGACCTGCTGCAGACAGAGGTTGCTTCACAGCAGCCTCCCGTGTTCCCCCGCCCCCGTGCCTCTGATATAGGCAACAGTGCAGGACAGGGAAGGGGAGGTACCACCGCAGAGCTGGGGCTGGAGGAACCAGCTTTTAAGCTAGCTCCTCCAGCACCGGCTCCTGGCTCCTTCCCCCCCTTTT